TATTGAACGTGTGACTCACTTATCGTAAACTGATAAGTCGATAGTCGCTACACTGCCTGGCATTCTTTTTCTTAGAATAGTTATAAATATCGATTCTAACCAGTTTCTGGTAATTTGCCGATGCTGTATATCTTATTAAAGAAGGATGTGATAATCGCAACACTCTCATTATCTAATAGTTTTAACAATTCTGCAGTATTTCGTCAGGAACAGAAGCCTTCCTTCGTTTCGCTTGGTCGATAGCCTTCTGAACTTCTGAGATTAAAATCGGTGAGCCTGTATCTCGGCTAGATGTTATTCTTGGTAGATTCTTTGGTCATCGTTAAATTTAATGTCATCTAAAATTTTACCACCAGAGTCTTGTAATATATTTTGCCCATAAGTTCTGCTTTTACCTGTTAATTCTTTTAGTTTTTTATGCAAATAGAAACTGTCGTGTTGTTGCTCAAGTTTCTCAATTTCTAAGTAGGATTCTTGTAGCCATCGGTCTTTTGCTACTTTAATTCTTTTTCGGATTTCTTTATGTATTTCATTGTATTTTTCTCTGTTTATGGATTTATACTGCCTCCGAACGTCCATTAGATCTAAGATGTCTTGCGTCATCGTCATTTTTAACTGTTGGTCGTCTTTAAAAGATTTTTCGAGATGCAGTGATTATTGTCGTTTTCATTTGTTCCCAGCAATCACCTATGTTGTTGGTACCTTCTAGTCTAATTTCGTGGAACTTGTCATTAATTTCTTAGGAAACCATATTTAGAGTGCATGGGTCTTGGAGTGCATCTAGTGATGGGCATGGACGCTAACTAAAACAGATGAATCCGCTCTATCGATTTTTGAAAGAAAGGTGCTACGCAAGATATTCGGAGCTGTCTATAAGAACGACATATGGAGGCGTAGATATAACTATGAACTGCAGAATATCTACAAGCATACGTTTGGTGGTAAAGATATTTCCACTATAATTAAGCGAAACTGCATGCAGTGGGCAGGACATGTAGCCCGGGCTCCTGAATCGAACATATTAAAAAATTTTCTTACAGCGCAACCCGTGGGAATGAGAAGAAGGGGTAGACCAAAACTAAGGTGGATGGACACAAGATGCCAAGAAGATCAGAGTCGGCAACTGGGAAACGCAAGCAAGGGACAGAGCAGAATCGCTAGAAAACTTGAGAAGGTCGAGACCCTCTAAGGACTAGCACCAAGATGATGATGATAATGATAATAAAAAGAGGCTCTAATGACAGAGTGTGGACGTGCGAAAGCTTACAAAAATAGAAAAGTATCTTTAAACAAATATAAACAAATAAATCTAGTATTTTAAGTTTTAGCAACATAAACTCTGACTTTTGCTTTGCTAAAATAAAATCTTACTTACCAATAATAGTCGTAACAAACTAAAGTAGTACCCCGCACGAGGATAGGTCAGGTTGATGTATCCCGTGATAGGGATTCCTACTAGAACAGGTATCGATTTAGCGCCCTGAATAAAACTCCAGGCTTTGGTAAAATGTCTCCCCTTGATTCGTTCCAGGGTAAACATCTTTAAGGCATAGTTGTATCCTCCCAAAACAGATTCCGTAGAGCCAAACAAAAAGAACGTAACCGTGGTAACCCTGAACTGCGCTAAGGGCCAGGAGTGAGATACCTGAAACAGATTAATTAAGAATATATTCTTCTTTTGCGGATTCTCATATGGTTTTTAAATAAGGAGAATAATTAGGATTTTGATTAATTCTTGTTTTTTCTATATTCTTTTATTATTATGCCTAATAAAACTTTGTACACTGAAAATGAAGAGCGGCGGATGGATACTCTCTACGATTTCTCGTAGTCATATTCCAATCCAAGCTCTCCTTCAAGTAGATAGACAGATAAACATTTATTTTTAGACCTTTATTGGAGAGGCTAGAATGTTGATATGTCTCTAATATATGTCTGAGATAATATCGAGTTATTCTAATCCTAGCTCAGTAACAGTATCTCTTTATGGTGTGACATATTGACATTAAATGGGAGTCGTACCAATGGTTTCATTTGGCTAACTGGTTAAATAGTAAAAAGAAACAATTACTTCAGGTTACTAGCTATTGAATAATTTACGTTGTACCAATTTTTATTATTATATCTTTTTTTCTATCAAAAAAAGGGGAATATTTATGAACTTAAAGAAATAAAATATAGTGAAGTGCTTTATTTTTATTTAAAAGTTTAATTTCTCTATTAGTCCTACTTAATAAATAACTATATTATTTTGAATGTAAACAAATTTCGAAATTTGGGGATCATACTATATTTCATTTCTTAACTATTCTTAATTTAATACGATATAAACTTTTGTTTGTCTAAACGATTTTTAAATTAGTTTTGTATAAACACTCCTCATGGTAATGTAAACATTGAATGGTATTTTAATATTCTTTTGGAGTGACGTGACTTTTAATGTTTTTTTTGTTCATTACTAAGAGATAATAAAGTATAGTTTTGTTGTAAACTTTCTATAAATCTTTCGATGTATCATCCCTATTTACCAATATCCCCATACATGACTCTCTAGTTGTTCTGCGAGATCACTTGATCAATGATAACAAGTCTTTGTTTTGGCAGATCTTGCGGAAAATGCCTCCTTTCAACATATTTTTCTTTAGAGGCAATTTCTACAAACAAATATCTGGAACACCAATGGGTTCTCCCTTTCCCCTGTCATTGCTGACATTTTCATGAAAGCCTTTGAGTCTTTAGCCCTAGAATCTTACCCCTTAAAATCGAAAGTCTGGTTCCGCTACGTTGATGATACATTTATCATCTGGCCCCATGGTCAACATACCCTTTCTCCCTTCCTAGATCATCTTAACTCACAACATCCGAGTATAAAACTCACAATGGAAGTAGAAAATAATCGGTCCCTTCCCTTTCTCGATGTGTTAGTCACCTCCAAGCCCAATGGCCGTTTGGGTCACTCTGTTTATAGAAAAAGACTCACACGAATCGTTAACTACATGCTTTATCACACCACCATCCTGCCCAAAAGAATTCTGTGATCAACTCTCACATCCATCGGGCCATTCGATTTCTGAACCTGACAACCTTAAGAAGAACTTGGCCATCTGCAAAAAACCCTTGTCGCCAACGTGTTACTCCAAGTCCACAATTCAAAATATTACACACCGACATCTACATCCCCTTTACACCCTAGAACGACAAATTCAGAATCTTCGGTAATACTCCCTGTGTGGCTTTTCTTCCGGTATATTCGAAGTGTCACTGATAAGATTGGCAAAATTCTTCGCAAAGAAGGTATCAAGACTACATTTCGACCACCCAAGAAAATCTCACAATATCTACCCATTCCTAAGGACCCATTACCGCCCCTATCTTCTGTGGTGTCTATTCTATCCTTGTTCATGTGAACATGTGTATATTGGCGAAACTGGTCGTTCCGTCAAAACTCGGATTCAAGAGCATCAAAGATGCATTCGATCAGGTCTTTTCTCCATTCTGGCAGTTGCAGAACACCGCCAAGAAACCGGTCATTCCATATTGTTCGAAAAAACCCATATTATTTCTAAGAGCCCCTTCTTTTATTTCAGGAAAATCCGCGAATCTCTAGAGATCCGAAAAAATCCACATAATATCAATCGAGAGGAAGGATACTACTTGTCTCCCATCTGGAATCTCAGTCTAGGTCTCCCATCTGGTCACTCACGGAGTGTGCCGATACGTTCCCGACAGGGACAGGTCACCGCGACTATAAAATAGAGCGGTAGCGGAATAATCGTCGGATTCGCTCCCCGCCTCTCGACGCGTTAGTGTTCTGAGCTGTTGGACGTGAATCCCTGTCCTGGCATTTGTTTTTCACCTCTGGCTGCGTTGAGTAGTTGAGTTACTGTGACCAAATGCCCATCTTGGTAGTTAGTATCGCCTCTGGTTGCGTTGAGTAACTAGTTACCGTTGCTAACTACCCATCTTCCTTTCTTCTTTTTCTTTTTCTTTTTCTTTTTCTTTGTTCTCCCGAAGAAGCTACATACAATCGTAGCGAAACGTCGAGATAAACCCACTTTTGGGTCACTCACAAATAACACGGTCCAAACCCGGAAGACGAATACACTATAATCTATAAATCTTATTTTTTTCTTTTCTCGTCTCCTTCGAGGTTAAACCAAGGGTGGCGTCCAATAATAAATTATAATTTCATATTATCTAATTATGCTTGGATTTAAGATATGATACAGTTTCTATATGTTTGAAAGAACCCGCCAATTTTCTCCGACAATGAGCGATTCTGGCCTTGAATTTAATTTGTGTGCCAAATGCTTATTAAGCATGTACGCCACAAACCATACATCTTTACATATGCTATCGAAATTTTAAACCTGTAAGTTGAAGGGAAGAATTAATCCAATACAAAGGAGAAGGCTTTATATCACATAATTAGAAATCGTCTTCTTCTTTTTGTAGACATGACTCTGTTTTTTAATGTGCTTCCAGTAAGTTGTCGTTCCTACAGATAATCTTGCAATTGGAGAACCATTTCTTGCCATCTTACTCTCACTTATTTATTTTTTAATCAGTTCTTGATATTCTCCCCCTTGCATCTACGTCGTAAGAACGTCGTCTACTCTTTTTGTAAGAAGAGAGAGGTTGTGACTCTTGAAGAAGGCCCCCATCCAATTGAAGGTTGAAAACGGAGAACGACATGGAGACGACTAGTCAAGATATATATGTAAAGGGAATTAAAATTGATATGGAGGAAGTTGGGAAACTTATAAAAAAATGTAACAAAGAAAAATAAAGAAAATTCTGATTAATAGATAAAAAAAAACAGCTACGAGGCATAGTTGTTTACATTGTCACTAATTTATGAAAACAAATTTTAATCTATGCTAGCGGATGTATTTTCTACTAAACAAAGGAAATTGTAGAAAAGACCATTGTTTAGTATAAAACAATGGTATCGATTACTTAGAGATACATAGTATACTTTGTATATAGTATTTACTTACCCATTCCTACCATAGCTGCTTGACATAAATACTGTCTTGATATAAGACATTGCGTACTTGGTTTTATTATAACAAAACCGAATCCTACACAGCCCAAGGCAGTGGCGAAGCCCATAAAGGTCTGCAGAACGACTAATCCGTTATCTTCAAGACCTTCTCTATAGCCTTGGTACGCCTAAAATTACAGAAAAACAAATTTTTGTAAATATTTACGAATCAAAACTCAGTATAACTCAGTGTAAATCAATGTAAAATAAAAATAGAAAAGTCTGGATGAAAATTCTAGTTAAGACTTGAGTTGAATATGTCATTCAACACCAATCCAGCATTCAGGTATCGTTTAAGTGCTATGAGTAGTTTTTAGCATAGGGCGAATCAACCAGTCATAGCAATTATATTATACATTTAAAGAGAAAAAAAAAAAAGAAAAAAAAGAAAAAAAACTATTATGTTAGTATAATAGTTTTAAGATATGAGTTAGGTATTAAATGTGTAAGGGTAAAACGTGGACACTTGCTTTCCATCTAGGGACCCTTTAAAACATTTTATTTAGACACAACTAGACTAGGTCGCGGATAAGAGGTATTATTTTTTTCCCTTTTTCTTTGAGGCTTGTTATTTTCTGGGCCGTATATCTCTGATGATGTTCAGGTCTGTCTTCTCCATTCTAATCTTTGCTGTTACAATCCTTTCTGATGTTTAGTGACACTTTTTGATGTGATTTTGGTACCTTTAATGCATTAGTAAGTGAGAAGCGCCCACCAAAGTGGCGTGGCAGTGGCAAGTAGCAAGTAGCACGCGTCTAGCATAATGTAACCAATGAAAACGAATGATTCAGTTTACACCAAATGACAGTAACGTCATTCATTCTAATCATATCGTTAGGATTGGTTACATTATGCTAGACCGCGTGCTACTTGCTACTTGCCACTGCCACGCCACTTTGGTGGGCGCTCTCACTAAGGCTACACTTTCTTTAGCCCCAATTTTTCTGCCACTACATTGTAGATTGGTGTGTCATCCACTAACCTCTAAACGTTCATTCTGAACATAGGCCTCTCGCATGCTTTTTCACTTAGTCCGATTTTGCGCCATCTGAATCCAATTTTGTAGTCACTCTTTTATGTCGTCTGTCCATCTCGTTGGGGGTCGACCTCTATTTCTGTTCGCTTGTATTCGGGGCCTCCATTCCAAAATTCTTTTTGTTCACGGGTCATCACTGATCTTGCTACATGACCTGCCCAGTTCCACTTTAGTGTTGTTATCCTTTCAATAAACGTCTGCTTACCCCGATCTTTTGCGTATAGTAGCATTGGATATTCTATCACATAAAGAAATCTCTAACATTATTCTCTCCATTGCCCTTTCGGCAACTTGTAGTTTACTCACTGTTGTAGGTCATTACTGGCAAAATACACCGATTAAATGCTTTTCTTTTCAGACACATTGGAATCTTAGACCTAAAAATATCCTTCGTCTTTCCAAATGCAGCCCAGGCGAGGTTTATTATTCTTTTCAGCTCGATTGTTTGGTTGTTTTGACATATTCTGATCTCATGGCCAAGTATTTATAGAAGTCAACTGGCTTAATATCTTTGTCTACTACTGAGATATTTTTGTTGTGGACTAAATTTGCCATAAATTGTGTTTTTGAAAAATTTATTTTAATACTAACTCTTTTTGTGGCTGTATGAAGTTCTTGGAGCATTATCTGTGTCTGATCAAAGTTGTCTGCAATAAGAACGATATCATCTGCAAATATAAGGTTGAATAAACATTTTCCATCAACATTGATGCCCTTTTCGTTCCAATCTATTGTTTTAAAAGCGTATTCTAGCAAAGTTGTAAATAATTTAGGAGACATTTCACTTTGATTGACCGTATCAAATGCTTTTTCAAAGCCGACAAAGATAAGTATCAGGGGTCTATTATATTTAATGGTTTTTTCAATTAACGACCTAATGGTTTGTAAATGATCATTTGTTTCGTATCTAGATTAGTGTGTATTCACCTAATTTTTATTGTCATTTTTGTTTCCTTTGTATTTCCTGTAGAGCGAAGGGTCGATGACACTTTGAGTTGAGCGATCTGATATTCCATGTAATAATTTTTATCTGGCTTTTGGATATTTTTTGCTTGTTCTTATTTCTTGCCGTGGTCGTCTTCATAGTATCAATTTGATTCCGATGCTGTACATTGTTTCCTTAAGCAGTATTAGTTTTGATGATTGGTAGGTTGCTAACCTTGCCTTTCTCGCTTCACATTTTATCTGGGCATGGGACCGGACTTTAAAATATCTAGGTATTACAAATAACGTAAAAAAACTTTCATATACACGCATTCATATACATCCCCAGATACTTATTTGATATAAATGGTCAGTAATGAAGACAGCTAAAGAAATTACTTACCAAATAAAATATTGGAGCATAAATTCCTAATGCGGCAAAGGCACAGGCTATCATAAGTACCCTAAGACCTCTACTCTTCAAGGGACTAAAGTCAAACATCGGCGGCTTGGGCACTTTCGTGTGGGATTTCTTCTCTTTCATTTTCTTCCGCTGGGTTTTTAAGATGCGTGATTGCTCGTCTTTGAGGGTGATAAAGGTTGGCCGATCTGTACACGATGGGAAGAAAGAAGGCCAAAGCCAGAAGACCGGTTACAGCTTGGAGTCCAAGACGCCAACCAAGTTTACTAAAAATTAAAATTAATTTGATTAAGTAAATTAGCAAATGATTTTGTTTTTTTTTAATTCTAGTAGTCATAAATACAAAAAAATGGACTATTCGCTTTATTAGTCATTCAATTGATCTCGCAGATCTCGCAGTGGTGAATTCTTAGTTGAAATACCGACAATATTCTGCACTATTATTACTTGTTGCAAGAAAAAAACAACTTGATCCAATCCATTTTTAGATTGAACTAAACAGTCTCATTTAATTTGGTCAGACTAGGTTGCTGTCTAAGCGTTCTCAAAACATTTCTGATGATGTAGGAAATCTAAACGTCGCGTCGTAATGAGCTGACTGTAAACGTCCAAGCTTCCACGCCGTGTAATAGTACACTAAATACATAACATTGAAAATAAGGCTATTATCGAGCACAAGTTAATTAATCTAGCCAAGTACTTTCGCTTAAAATAGCATCTTCAGGGGCATTTCGTCAAAATGTGAACTATCCGGCAAGCGTAGAATGTGGAAACATTAAAATAACATAAATTGTACAAAACACTACACTAAAACGAGGACAAACAGTTTAAAATTACTTCTACGCTACATTCTCTGTCAGTATCTGAGTAATTCACAAATTAAATTCATTATCCCTCCAGATACTGACAGAGAATGTAGCGTAGAAGTAATTTTAAACTGTTTGTCCTCGTTTTAGTGTAGTGTTTTGTACAATTTATTAACTTGTGCTCGATAATAGCCTTATTTTCAAAGTTCATTTATTCGAGCATTCAACTCATTTCATTTAAATACATAACACTTTATCATGCGGTATCGCAGGGACAAATCAAGATTACGAGTAGTGAGCAATTGTCGCATCTTTAAGAAGGTGTTTCTTGCCTGTTCTATTCTACATTTAACCTCTTGCTCTTGGTCTAAGATTTCATGTATCCAACCATTCAAGCAAGGAATCAAAGATATAATTAAAATATATTTGTAAACTTACCCTACAGCTTCTTTAAAAAGCACAGAAAATAGCGCTATACCCACTCCAGCACCCGATTGCGCCACCATTTCTACAAATTCTCTTCTTCGCTTGAAATAGTGGCCCAGTACTATGGTAGATGTTTCTCTTACTACTCCTGCTCCAATTCCTAGCACTAAGCCGTAACTCAAAAGTGCCTAAAACATAAAAATTTATGTTCTATAAATAGAGACGATATAAAGTTATAAATATTATGTCTAGTTAAGTGTTAGACTTTGTTTTTTAGTGAACTCTCTTATTTTTTATAATATTGTGATTGCAAACACATTTTTTTTTAGTTAGAAACTATAGTACGAGATCTTACTGCAAGATGAAATTCACGTTTTTTAGATGCATATGTATGGCAACCCTAATAAAAGAATTCCTGGCCCTCTTCTGTAAAAAGCATATGTAACGGAACCTCAGGAACTATTAGCTGGACGGAACTTACGACGACCCCTCTGAAGACGAAAAACAAGTACAAAGTAGACGTTTTAGCACTTTAGGATATGCGGTTAACAGGAATCAAGAATTTGTGCATAATCACAGTAGAATTGGTTTAATGATATTATTGAGCCGAAGGAATGTGTAATAATATTTCTCATTTTATTTTTCTTATGGCAAACATTGTATTTGCAAAAATCGTAAAAATTGAAATAAGTTATTGTCAGAGCATAATGTTGTAGCTCCATTGTAGCTGATTCATTTAATTCTGTTAATGTATCGTCCTTCTATAGTTTCATTTCTATTATTTTAAAAACTTTTTCCATAGTCAAATTAGTAAATAGACTGGTGTTGTCAAAACTAACTAGCATATTGTTGGGTTGTAATCTATGTCTGCTACTTTTTGCCATAAAAGTGTTTGTATTCTGTGCCAATGGTTGTATTCTTTTTGGAAGGTACCTAGACAGTTTTCTGCAGTTTTACTGTTACAAATTGGTCTAAAGGATACGACTTGTGTATTTTGGGACTCTATATACGTGTGGTCTTCTACTGCATATGGGTGTTAATATTATTTTAAGAAAGTCTGTCAGATACTTCGAAAATTTAGATATTGTTTTGTATATTTTCTTCTCTGAGGAATTATTTGGGTTCTTTTGTAGTTTTGAGTCTAGTCTATTTGTAATAAGTTCTTGAATTTTCTTCTGGTATTAGATTTTGTCCATAATTACAGTTGCATTACACTTATCTTCTGGTAAAATTATCATGAACTAATCTTCTCCTAAAGATTAAAAGATAGATATTTATGAGAAAGACATAAAATTTAGATCTTAGGAAAATTTATTATACAGCAAGTGATTATCAAAAAAATTTAACTTTGTGAATCTTAACCTGCTTAGCAAAGTTTTTCCATTCTGCCCTGTCGCATACTTTTCTTTACCACTGCCTATTTATGCTATTATAGTGCTATTATATTTTAAAACCTAATTATGTCCCCACTTTGTAATATATAACCTATATTAAAGCATACAAACCTGATGGAACTGCACAGCGAAAGAAGTAAAAAGACAAGCCAGGGAAATTACAAGACCTCCTAGAAGAGCAGCCAATCTGGCAGACTTCCGCCTACAAATGGCCACGATTAAGGGAGAAGTGAAAAATGATATACACAAGCACAATGCACCCATCCATGCTAAAACAAAATTAAACAATTATTATCTTACAAATATTTTAAGCACAATTTTAGTAATTTTTTATATAAAACAATTTTCAATCTGGGATAATAAATATAAAATATGCATTTGTGTAACTACATGAGTACAAAATAAGTGACTCAAAATTATTTTGCGAAAGTAAAATCTCCTGTTTCCATTTAAAAAGTGTAAATTTAAAAATATTTAGTGTACAAATATCATTAACCTCATTATTGAGTTTTAGAAAAGTTTTGTTTTTTGGTGAATCAAATGACGTATTTCAAATAAACAATGTAACACGTAGAGAGGGGGTCAGAATTTGATTAAATGAAAATCCACATAGCATTATCGAGAGAAGGCGTGCGCCAGAGGACCGTGGCAAAACGACCAAATTTAAACCAATTTGCTGTATCCCGGGTGTATTATCAGTACCAAGATGCTGGTGATTATGTTCGCCGACAAGGAGGAGACCGTAAACGAATAACACCAAAGAGAAATGATCGATTTCTTGTACCTAAATCTCTGAGAAATCGATATTTGACTTGTGCTAATCTCCAAGAAAAGCTTAGAGAGGTCCGAGGTGTGGTTACCAGTGTTTGGACAGTCAGAAGGAGACTGATGACAGCCAACCCGACATGAAAAAGTGCAGTTACGGGTCCCAAGCTAAAAAAGTGCAGTTATGGGTCCCAAGCTAACTGAAGCCGAGCAAAGGGAATTAGAATTTGCCGCCGAAACATCTGGATTGGGACGGCATGGAGTAAGGTATTATTCTTCGACAAAAATAGTATCTGTCTACATGGCAACGATAAGGGGCATTAAGTCTATAAAAGGGAAGGAGAGCGATTTGCTCAATATTGTATACGAGAAATTATGTAATATGAAGGAGGTTCTTGTATGTTTTGGGCAGGCATTTCCATGGATAGGAAAACGAAGTTGATTTTCGTGCCTGGTGGAGGACGTGGAAGAGGTTTAAAGGTAGATCGTTACATCAAAAACATTTTGAAGAAACATGTGGTTCCATACGCGGGATTTATTGGTGATGCGTTGATTTTAATGTACGGTTATACCGCACGAGTCATCACCACCCATCTGACTGAGATCGGTATATCTACAATAAATTGGCCTGCGTTGAGCCCGGACATAAATCCAATAGAGCATGTTTGGAATAATCTTAAACAAAGGGTCCGGGATAGAAATCATGCACCAATGAGCGTAATGGAATTGAGAGCTGCGGTTAATGATGAATGGGAAGTAATGCCTCAAGAATGTATTAGAAAATTCATCCGATCCTTGAAAAATCGATAGGAAAGTGTAATTAGAAGTAGAAATGGTAATATCAAATAGTGTCAAATAAAAAAATTAATTTTGTAATAATTAACGATTTCTCTGTTCCTAACGTTTTTCTAGTGTTAGTTCCAATGATGAATATTTAGGAAACGTTGTTCGTATTTTATATAGTTTTTATAATGCGTCTTCCAAATAATGCAATGGCCGTTTTTGTAAGTTCAATAATAAAGTTATTGGTTGCACAATACAGCATTTTATTTTCATATTTCTCACATTGAAACAATGTGTAATCTCAAATATTGCTTTTGAGTCGATTGTTTTGCACTCAAGTATACTTGCAAAGGGAATGTCTAAACCAGAGAAATAAAAAATGAAAATGACAATCGCTGTAGCTATTATCTAAATAACGTTCTCAAATATAGTGCCTCATTAATCTAACGGTCTATTAAAAATGATGATAAAGTAATACAAATAACTTCTTCTTCTTCACGTGCCATCTCCGCTACGAAGGTTGGCTATCATCATGGCAATTTTGACCCTGGAGGCTGCCGCTCGGAACAATTGTATGGAAGTGCAAGCAAACCACTCCTGAGGTTTCTCAACCATGACATTCTTCTCCTACCTATGCTGCGCCTACCTTCAATCTTTCCTTGCATAATTAGTTGCAACAGTTGATATTTATTCCCACGTGTATTACACGTGGGAATACAAATAACACACCCTTACAAATCTTCTAGTTGAAAATTTGTAAGTTATTAGCACTGATTTAAATCCTAATTAAATAATTCTGCAAATCTTTCGCTTCTTCGTCTTCCTTTTTATCAGCAATTCTGCTTGTTCATACAGATTGATA